TTTCATGCACTTCAGGTGTGGTGAAACTGAAAATTAAATAATCAAGAAAATAATGAGAGACAGTACCTACTCTTGGAGCGGTACTCTAGTTTCAAAATATCAACTTTGCTGACTGATGGATGGTTATCATATTTTTGCTGACATCAAAAAGGTATTGAACTTAAAAGTGTTGCTTGGGCTTTTGGAAAGAAATCCAATATTCACTTTCAATCCCTGAAGTAATGAAAGTGCCAATCAGTGCCAATTTTAGCACTACCAGCGCCCTGGGAAAGAATTGTACGGCTTCCCCTAATAACTAATTCACTTTTTTAGCCTTTGTATTAGCAAACATTGGTTTAATGAAAGCATTTTTACCAGAGGTGCAAATTTGACATCTTGCTCTCACCGTTTGATTCCTTCATCTTCTTCCTACAAAAATGATATATCTTATTTTGATCGATATCTTTTACCGTTTTAGAGAAAATCGCATTTTTAAAACAAACATTCAGAGGTGATAAAATAGTATGTTATACACCTAGGGTGAAAAATGAGCCATATAATATCATACTCACCCCAGGAATATATAATATTTTTTCCACTGAAAACACTGAAAAATTAACATCTTTTATCAATTCAGATTTTCATTTCCATTGAAGGAGCAATGCCATTCACTGTGTATATTCAGCAATGTTGCACATATTACTAACATTTTGATATATTATTATTAAACTAAAAGAAAACTCGACTTGGCTGTCAGAAAATGAACGCTATATTGAAATTCCAGGTGAAATTGTGAATAACTACAAAACCGTGTGAGAATTTAAGTGACATTCATTGAAGTGGTACAGGCATCTTAATCATATCGTATCGACAGCCATAGCTGAAATTGTTTTGATTGGTCAAAAAAATGTCTCCTTGCCGAAAGTCATGGTTAATTGAAGTATTGGTCTAATTCACACATGACAGTGACATATATTTTCAGGAAAATTAATAATAATCAGATCATTCCAAGCATTGTTTATACTTCAAAAGTTGATTTTAACTGTAATATGAGGTTTGTAGTTCCAACTATATATTTGGTTTTAGGAATGTATCATTTTAGTTGGTTACATACGCATCGGTATCTGTGTGTATATTGAATAATTATTATCATTGACAATAGGTATTGGCAGTTGTTTTCTACCTAGGTAGAATTCCTTTATCAACTCATCGTTATTTACCTAGGTTCAAAAAGTGTTAAAGTTTATTCAAAGTCAGTTGAAGAGATCATCAAACGAATGTCGGGCCGCGCTGCCGCACTCTTTGAACTTTCAGAGGGACCGACGGCTTGCGATGATGTGTTTTTCCAACTGACTTTGCATGAACTATACTTCTCATTAGAGGGAATCCTCGAATAATGGTGATTTCTCAGGTTAGTGATGGAAATACTCTATTTATTCAATAACATCGCCGGTATTCAATACTCTGTTACACCATGGATGAGTTTATTGATGATGAGTACACCTTATGTATGGACTTGCAGAAATTTTCAAGGTAATTTACGCCGTAATGAAGTGCGATAGACCCTTTTTTTATATGAAGTATACAAACACCCTGTAGATGACTGAAAAATACATTTGACCTCCATACAGATGAGTATTCATAAACTCCAACTATATCTTTCCTGGGCGAACATTCTTCTCTAGGGAGTTGCAGCTTTTTAAAGATTGGGCTGCAATAAAAATAATGGTTTTCATACTCGACTACGGCAAAGACAAGAGATTATTATGCAATAATCATAGGGTTGGAAAAAGGCAACATTTTTATTCACATCATATAATCTGAAATCAATGCCTTTTGGAGTAACTGAATCCTTGTTCATACATTGATTTGGATTTATCCATATACATACATCCCGATTCATAAAGAACGAAGAAATTTCAATGATTTCTTTTACTTTCTAATGATGTCTCAGGAATTACCATCAATGTTTCCTTATATGGGGAAACTAATGCTGCAAAGAATGTTGTTGGCATCCAGTAAATACCGATGTATACCAGTCTAATATGGTACGTGAAAACTTAATTGAAGATTTTTATGGTATCAACATTGTTTATATTATCATTAAATTGTTATGGGCAAAAAAGCAGGCCTATTGATTATTTACCTATGATATTGATGAAAAAACAACCGAATTAATCATTCTTGGTCGTTGAGTTCCTTTGAATTATTAGAAGACATGTTTTGTCAGATCAATAAGATAAGTGAAATGTATCACTCGCAATAATGACTATTATTATTGACTTTAATTCAATATGAAATGAATATTTCGTTTTATTTATAAGGGAATGATGAGTAAATACGACAAGATCCTCTTCTCATAATTATATCGTAGACAAATCAGAACTCAACTTGTTAACATCACCAAATTCAGAACAAAATCAGGAATAAAAAACACTTGGTACCATGCAAAACGAAAAAGTTGACATTTGCTGACCTCACAGTAGATATTTGAAAAAATTATGATCAGAGCCTACAAATAGTAGGAGATACGGTATAAGAAATATGAACCCCATGTTTGATAATAAATATATTGATTCATTACGAATAGGTTGCCTATCTAAATCAAGTGCCGATGATGTGAAATGATAATATATTTGATTTTGATGAACTTATTTATGAAAGTCGAATGTTAGTTGTTGTTGACAACAATTCCACAACTAGTAGCATCAAAAATTTTTCAACTCCAAGTAAGTCAAGCACAAATTCTTTCACATCAACCTTTTTGTATTGTAGAACTTTCAATTAGGCAGAAGATGGTCTTTTATGAGACCGAAACATGTCCCTTATGATTATGTAACAGATGACTTCGAGCATTCCTTCCTTCCTGTGAATAAACCATCTGTCAAATTGGATGCGCGCTCGTGAAAAGTAGGTAACTTTATTCATTTTTTCTTGCTCTTCCCAAATATTGAAACTGAGTGTTGTTTTTGAAATAAAAAAGTTTCCGGTTCGTCCTCAAGACGGACCTGGATTCTGATCTTGAATACTATTCTGTTTCGATGGGTAATATAAGTGGAATATTGTCATGATATGATAGATGGTTAGTCCATCCATATCGATTTATAAGGGGTAATGCTTGGCTTTTAATAGACTATATTCGAACATATCAATACTTATTGAAGCATGAAACATTATGGCAGAGCAATGACAAATATAAATAAACAACCATGAATATAAAGACCTAATAACAACTTACATTATAATGACCATTACGACGAGCTCTTGTCAAGTCAAGAGTAGCCCCAGACCAGACTAACTTTGGAACCCTCACATCCAATATTTATACACATCATTTTATTAGATTGGCACGTTTCTTATGAGAGTTTCCCAGCGAGCACAAAAACATCTCAGAGATGTTAAAAGTACGAGATTTCGAGACATTGAACCTCCACTGCGATGTTCTGTTTACACATGAATAGAACTATTATAAAACAGTCAATGTCCGCCGCAGGCGGCAATTATCGAGATGTCCTTGATATGTCACAAAACTACCTTCTCCCTAGTTCTTTTTAAAGCATTTTCATGGACACAACAGAATATTTTCAACGCGTCTTGCGCACATTAAATCGCTGTAAAAAAACCATTTTCGAGGTACTTTTCTGAAGCCTGTTGTCAAAATGAACTTTTGCATTAGGATTCCATTTCCCTTGAATGAAAAAATGCATTAAAAATAGATTGAACATAAAAATATTTTCTTGATATGAAATTACCTACTTAATCAGTTTCTGAGTAGTGCTTAATACACACAGACATATAATTGGAAATAGGTTTCCCAATTTTTGAAATGTTCTCCACAATGCATAATTTTTGCAACTGCGGAGAAGCTGTGTATTGATGAATTCGTACTTTTATATATTGATTACACTGAGGCACCGAACAACACATCTTGCATCTGATGGTCATTATTACAAACTAAATAAGTCTTCTTACACAATAAACTTCACCAAATTCCTTCCTGTTCGTTAGCAGCGTGATGTAAGCGTGACACGCTGCAAACGCGAATGCCAATTGCGAACAAGAAGAACAAAATCGAAAACAAATCAGAATTCATCGTATTGTGACGTAAGCATGAGACGTGGTGGGGCAAACAAAAAAAGGCACAGAAGAACAAAAACAATACTTTCAATATCCTTCTAAGACCTCTTTGGGAAGTGCATATTAAGCCTCAAAAAAACATCCTCATGCCTACATTTCAATACATCCCAAAACATCCCAGGGATACCTCTCAGTAGGCAAACAAAGAAATGCCACAGAAGAACAAAAACAATACTTCAATATCCTTCAAAGACCTCTTTGGTCAGTGCATATTACGTCTCAAAATAACATCTTCATGCCAACATTTTCAAAACATCCCAAAACATCCCAGGGATGTTTGTGCTCGCTGGGTTCCTTGGTCAGTTTTCATAGTTCAATGTCAACGGATGATTTGATTCACTTTATGTTCATAAAACCCTCATGGTTCGAAATTACTAATATACAGTATGTTCTACTCGTGACAATATTTATACCAAGTATGGATAGATTATACAAAGTGGTTCTGAAATTATGGCCAGATGAATATGTTGCCAAAATCAAGATAACGTCCTGTATCTTAGTTATAAAACACGGTACACACATCAGTTGGGGGTGATTTGTGATTTGACATCAGAGTGTCCTCTATCTGCAAGTATTGTATGTACATTTGAATCAGAAACACCCTATACAGGGTGTTCCATTTCAAAAATGTATATAAGTTCGCTATAACTCACGCAATGGGCACAAAATGGACTATACACCCGCGCACCCAAGCAGAGAAGAGGAACTTTTTCTTGAGATGTCCAACTGTTTTTAGGTCTTCATTTAATTAAAATCTACATGCAAAAATTATAAAGACTTGTTCCTTGGAAAAGATGATTGAAAATTAAATGAAATACTTGGAGGGGGTTTCAAAATACATGTGAAGACCCTGTAACTATTCTGAAAGTTAGTACTTTTTTCAGGCGTACCCGAAGTACCGCTTCGAATACGGAGTCAAAGACGGTCACACCGGCGACATCAAAGAGCAATCGGAAGAACGAGACGGAGATGCCGTGAAAGGCGAGTACTCTCTGGTGGAACCTGACGGTACCGTCAGGAAGGTGCAGTACCAAGACGACGGACACAGCGGCTTCAACGCGGTGGTGACGAGATCGGGTCACGCGGTGCATCCAGCGGCGCCGGTCAAGCTGGGCATCTCTCTCGGCGGGTACCACCACTAGGAAGAGGTGGTACCCAGGTACCATCTCAGGAAGTTCTTCTGAAGTTTGTAGCCTGATAATAATAGTATTATGCTGTTTAAGTTTTAGTTCCACCCAACGGTTATGGTTGATTGAGTTTGTTCTCTCAGTTGATGAAATGAAAATCCATACAGTAAAAATTTCTGTTCATTTCCGTTCATAGATGACTGAAATTCATATGATAGTGTCATTAAACGTTGAACATATGGCAAAAACCTATCAATACCTGAGTCATTTTTATTATTATCATTCCTACTTTGGTGGTACCGATAGGTGTACCGTTTCAGGTTCTACTGATATAGCTACTTACTGAGTTGAGGTGAATCTATAGCTACTTGAAAGAATGTGAACTACCATGCTAATTGTAGGATTGAACACGGAAATTTTGGAATATAAGTATACTTATATTCTGTGGAATAGCGATCTTTTCTGTATGTTATTATTCATTTTTCATAGTATCTCTAGATATTGGTGACACCAGCACATTGGCAATATTTTTAGGAATAATTCTGAATATATCGAAAACACTTCATGAAACAATCCATTTTTCATCTTAACACATGTTTTTTTTTATACAAAAGCGATGGATTCGTGAGAATATACTATTCATTATGAATATATAGAGATGATTATGGACAAAACCGATATAAAGATGTCAGAGACAGCAAACAGATTACAAAATGGGTCAAAATAAATTGAAAGGCATTCCTTTGGTCACAGACACCGAAAATACCTACCGTATAATAGTTATTTGTTTTACTAGGCAGAAAAGGCCAAGGCATTGAATCTTCTTTTCTGCCATATGAAACCTGATTTGTTGTTCTGATGTTATAAAATCAATTTTGTGTTATTTTTTTCATTGACTATTACACTCTTGTTCTCGAGAACCAATAAGAATCGACCATTTTCAGGGTTTCTTCTGTCACAGCGATATTTTTTATTCGCTGAATTTTATCGGACTTCCTGTGTACTAATAAAGAAGCCGAATTGACCCACACATGACGAACAAACCTCGTTTTTCAGTCATAAATTATTTAACTTCTAAAACTTCAATCATGTTGGAAGTCAGAATTATGGATGCAGTGTGCAACTCTTGGGAGGCGCTCGTTTATTGTCTGAATCATGGAAAAGGCATATGAATACAACTCGTGATACTATTTATCCTGGAAATATCCGTCAGTTGAGATACTCCAGCTTGCTACTTCAATTTCGCCCATGACATTGTTCCAAAAATTCTCGCCAACGGCTCGAAAACTTTGATAAACAGTGTCATTCGCAAAATTATTGGGCAAGAAGCTGTCGTAACAATCGTCGAATATTTCCGGCAAGATAGTATCACATCTGGTATTACACATGAAAACTCCATCATTTTATGTTCATCCAATGTCATTGTCAATTTAGATTACCAATTTGATTCCGATTATTTGGAACTTTGCATAGCAACAAACCTTTCCTGCCTAGGCAGTAAAAATACACTTGCTATGCCAGTTGAGTGTAATAAAAGAGTCACTTTTAAAGTCATTTGGAGAAAATAGTTATTTGTTTTACTAGCTTGCTTCTACATTTGCTGCCGTGTGGGACAAATAATTTTTTCCTCAAATGTTATAAAACACCAATTTTGTGTAATTTTCCATTGAAAACTCGCCCAATGTCAGTGTTTATTTAAATTACCAATTTCATTCAAATCACTTGGAACGTTGCATTGCAACAAACTCTTCCCTCTAGGAAGAGAAAGTACACTTTTCCAAGGGAGGGTACTAATGTTCCAAGAGTGCATGTCTCGTCTCCAGTGTCAGATTGGGAAAATGTAATGAGAAACATTGAATGTGTAGTAGTCGAGAAAATCAACACATTTTAACAATAATAATTATACCCAAGACTTTTGGAAACATTGATTCTATTGACTAATGGAGATTTGTTTCGTTCAATTTTTTTCCTAGGAAAACACTAGGGGATTTTTGTCACCCTCTGGGACGTAAATAACCTCTCAAATTAATCCAACGAAATCAAAAAAATATAATTATATATGTTTTCTGCCATTTGGTAGATACTATGAATGAGTGAACTATGTTCTACCTAAATTCCTCGCTAGATTTTATTTCAAGATCATTCATTTGTTGACTATAGATTCAACAATGATTCAACCATAGATTCAACTGAACCTGTCTGTACAACAACGGTATCCTTCACCAAAATTCCAAATTTGTCAAAAACGTTTGCACCATATAAATTCACAAACCTGAATGAGAATTGGTGAGTATATTTTTATCAGTCGATACGGGACACATATTTAGTGTTGAGTAATGATGAACATAACTGACTCTGAATTTCCATGGGAATTTCTAAAACACATATATTGGATATAACTCAATATACCTAATTGAAAATGATCCTTGTTGCTTATTATATTTTATTTAATAGAAGCCTTCATCAATATATCTAGGTTATATCTATTCCAGATTCCCTGAATATAGATTCCATTAGACAATAAGGATGTTTCATTCCAAATAAAATATCACCAATTCAATTACAACATTTCCATCAGAGCAGGGAATACATACTTTTGGTAACCATAGATTTTATTGTGAGCATGACATTCAAAATATTTGTTGAAATCACTATATCCTATGACGAAATAAAACGTTTCTATCCCGTTTGTTATTATATAGTTTTTAGTTCAAAGTTTCTGTATTTTGTATAATAAATGTTTATGAATGTGTACTTTGCTAACAGTCATTCTTTCCACTGATTCCAAATTATTGTTTTATTCAGCTGTGGTATAACAGTTCAAGTTTTTCAGATAATGCAAATTCACCTACTGAAAAGTGTTGCTGCTATAGATTTTCACGATTCTGATTCTGTTATTATAGTATACAGCTTGGATTTTTTTATCATTTCTAAAATTTATTTATCCCTATCATGAAATGAGTTCCACTGTCATACTGTCAATAAATAATTAATGTCTTTCAATTCATTCCTGAATCAAATAGCTATTTGTGTATTTAGAGCGCAAAGTGATAGATTGCCGCTCGACAAAGAAAGTTACCGCGCGATGCGGAGCGGAGCGCGGTAATCTTTGGAGAGCGGCAATGACACTTTGTGCTCGAAATACACACAAGATTTTTTCTACAAACGCAGCTTTTGGTAATGCCTGCCCTGAAAGTATGAGTGATGGAAATAGTTCTTATCCATAATTATCCCATATGTCCTAAGAAAACAAAATGAACTTGAAATAACTGACAAGCCAGAAAAAAAAATGTCGGACATACCGAGAATTGAAATTGGACCACCAGCGTGTTAACCTGAACTTCAGACCTCTGAGCCATGATACAATAAACTCTACAATCAAATTGAACATAACTCATTGATACAATAAAATGAAGATACACTGTCTTTCTGATGATGACAAAGAGTTTAAATCTTAAGTATAATTTACCTTCTTTAATAGATATTCTTCATTGGGAGCTTCTTGTGAAAATTTGTTGGTATATATCTTCAGCGGTGAATGTTTTGGATTTTTTTCGCTTTATATCCAATAGATTGTTTCTTGAGAAATGCGATAAGTTTCGGATACTTATTGATTCCGATATTATATTTAACATTCAAGCATGTATACGTACCATCGAATATATAGACCAATGAGTTGATGACTTCAAAGTCTCTGACTTTCCACCAGAATAAGCCAGTAAAACGTTTTCTGAATACTTATTCATCTCCTCAGAGTGGCACGAATTTATGAATGTATCGTATTGTAATTCATATTTCTTCCTTGATTTCTCCGGTAAAAGATTCAAACTTTTGCGCTTCCTGCTATATCAGGAGGTGTGTTTGATAGTTCACTGTCACTATTTTCCATCATGAAAGAATTGGGGGTTTTCAAGAATAGATTTTTTTTGTGCTGGTTCCCACGAAAAGGGATATCCTATAATGTTCAGAGAACATCGTGAGAACCAAGAATTGGTGTTCTAAAATTTATACCTCAAGGAACAGAGTGCTACTAATATGGATCTCATCCAGTATGATATAACAACAAAGTATTTTCAATGATTCATATCCGACAACACTCATTATATAGACTATCAAAATGATATCTTGTCAATCAATGTCATCACATATTTTGTTAATATAGTTCAGTTGTTAATGATAAACAAGACGAATATGAAAAACGATAAATGAGGAATTATTATTAATTCATATCAAAATGATACGATAAATATACAAATAGCCAACACAGAGATGTGCGAGCATTTTTTCAATATTACCGCTCACGAGCGCAAATGCTGTCAAAGAATGACATTTCTGGGAAAACGACAACTTTGTGTTGGAATTTGAAAGCGTCAAAGGCAACTTTGTAAAGCGTTTGTAGAAAAATACATAAGTTAGACAATTCGATTTGTCGTGTGTTGAAAAATATGATTTCTAAACTTATCGCACGTATGATGAGTTCGCTTTACTTAATAGTCGTTAGCAGTATAATAAAAACATATTGTGCCGAATAGAACGTATAATTAGGAGAAATTAGCATAGTCAATTGTCAAGCTGATAGCCATCATTTTGATTTCACACAATAAATTCACACATTTTATTACATGTGACAAACGTTTTAAGGCGAAAGAAAATCATCAAAGCAGACCATCTCCTTCTTTGTTTTTTCCAGCTTCCTACGGTGTTTAGCCTACATGAAAAACATTTTGCGTTTATTGCTCTCTCAATTTGTTGAATTGATTATAAAAAGATCGTTCTGAACAATATCAATTTAAGAAAGATGGTCTAACATAGATCCATGAGAGCAAAACAAGTAGAAAAACCTTCCAAATATCACAATAACTATAATATTACCAATGAAGGTATAAATACACTCTGAGAGCTAATTTTCATCCGCTTCTGTTCAAAAATGATAATTATTTATACACCAAAGTAGTAACGAATATCATTATCACCCAGGAACCAAGATTATATCGCGAGGCTTCAGCCAAGGGGTATAAGGTAAATAAATAAATAATATTCTTTTTCTACTCACATAACTAAAATGGCATTTAGCGTACGGATATATATACCACGCTAAATGATCGATTAATCACGGATTGACGATCTGTGATTTATTCAAAATATTAAACACGTTACCATGGCAACACGA